AAATTAGTGTTATAGTATTAGAAAATGACTCTTTTTGCCCGCTTTAGTGTGTTTGTAATATTTCATAGGAAAATGATTCCAATATTTGAGGAATTTTTGCAAAGAGCTAGGTTCACTTTATTTATAAAATGGCCCTGTAGATATACCAATTTATTAACTAAAACTCCCGAGTACCATTTTCAGCATTAATATAAAGTAGAGACTTAGTGCTTTCAGTTTATATAACAAAATTTCCTTTGAAGAGTCCAGGCATTGAAAAACAGGTTGTGTGAAATTGCAGTGTTATTGAATTTTGCAGAAAACAGGTGTTTTTGAGAACCTTCAACAAAGAATTAAAATATCAGCACAACCCTCGATCCAAAAATTAAAATATGCTTTATAATCTTCATTAACAGTTCTTTTATAATATATTTACACATTTTGGATCGGAGGTTGTGCTGTATAAGAAATATTGAAAAGTGGCATTATTTTTTAGCCTTTTTTAAGAAATATTCAGAATATGTGAATAATGACGTAATTCATGACGTTTACTAGAAAGAAAATTACGTCATTGTCAGTATATATTCATTAAACAAGTGCTCAAGTATAATTTCTTGCCTTGTTGACTAAAACTATACAGTTTTGAATTTTCAGAAATGCACAGGGCCAAAAAAGGCCCTAAGTGGCTCTTGCTCTTTTAGAGATTTTACATAAAGTTTATTTTAATGTTAGATGAAATATCAAGGAAAATTATGATATAATTGAGATTTAATTTTTCATCTTCATGTTTGTAACACTGTAGGCTTTTCGCTCGTCATGTTCACCCATCTTCTTTAAGAAATTAAAAAATGTGACATTTAGAGCAGATGGTCATTACACCTTAAAAACATAGGTAATCAGAGATTACAGAGCTCACCTCAACGAATGTTGTCTTTAAGTAAGGCAAAGTCCTAAACTTATAATCTAGTAGTGTGCATCCCTAGATGTAACATTTATGCAATTTTGGTCCGATAGGGCTTGCAGTAACATGGGAATAGTCTTTCCTAAAAACTTAAAACTAGTCACTCACCCAGAAAATGTAAGTCATACCCAGCATCTGAAGCAAGTTTGAGAGTGTTCATCCTGTGATGCATCATCCATGCAAGTTTGATTTAAATAACCCTTATAGTTTACTTTAACCTGGTCACTCATCTGGAAAATGTCGGTCAGATACAGCATCCGAAGCAAGCCTGGTAGTGTGTATCTTCAGATGTATCATCTTTGCAAGTTAAGTCAACATAGGGCTTAAAGTTACTTGGAAATTAGACCTGCTCTAAAAACTTTAACCTGGTCACTCATTCGGAAAATGTAGGTCAGATCCAGCATCCGAAGCAAGTCCAGTAGTGTGCATCCTTAGATGTATCATCCATGCAACTTTGGTCAATATAGGGCTTTTCGTTACTTGGAAATGAGACCTTCTCCAAAAACTTTAACCTGGTCACTCATCCGGAAAATGTAGGTCAGATACAGCATCCGAAACAAGTCCAGTAGTGTGCATCCTTAAATGTATCATCCATGCAAGTTTGGTCAATATAGGCTTATAATAGTTACTTGGAAATGAGACCTTCTCTAAAAACTTTAATCTGGTCACTTATCCGAAAAATGTAGGTCAGATCCACCATCCGAAGTAAGCGTGGTAGTGTGCATCCTTAGAATTATCATCCATGCAAGTTTGGTCAATATAGGGCTTATAGTTACTTGGAATAAGACCTTCTCTAAAAACTTTAACCTGGACACTCATCCGAAAAATGTAGATCAGATCCAGCATCTGAAGCAAGCGTGGTAGTGTGCATCCTTAGATGTATCATCCGTGCAAGTTTGGTCAATAAAGGCCTTATAGTTACTTGGAACTGAGACCTGCTCCAAAAACATTATAACCTGGTCATTCTTCAGCTGAAATTGAGCATCTGAGACCTTGACTGGTACAATGAAACATTCTAGAAGCATCTTTCATGCATCTCTGATTAATATAGGGCACAGGAGTACTTGAAAAGGAAACTGCACCAAAAACTTAAACCTGGGACGCCGACACCGAAGTCGACGGTATTACATAAGCTCCCCCTACTTCGTTGACGTTAGCTAAAAAGGCTTTCCATCAGTGTAACATACGTTTCCTCTATACAAAAATTTGGCATATTTGTCCCCGCTTTCGCGAAAGCGAGGGAACATTAAATCTCATTCGTCTGTCCATCTGTCACAAAAACTTTCACCTTGGTTATAACTTTTGAATGAGAAGAGATGGGGCTTTCATATTTCACATGTACATTATCTGTTACAAGACCTTTCTAAATATACTATAATTTTTGACCCCGTGACCTTGACTTTGAAGTTTGATCTACTTTTCAAAAATTTTATCATTACTTTAAATTGGTCATAACTTTTGAATGAGAAAGGACGGGCTTTCATATTATACTTGCATATTACCTGTAACAAAACCTTTCTAAATGTACAATGACTTTTGACCCCATGACCTTGAAGTTTGACCTACTTTTCAAAAATTTAATCTTTGCTATTAACTTTTGATTAAAAAGAAATAGGGCTTTCATATTTGACACGTACATTACCCGTGACAAGGCTTTGATTTTTTTACCCCTTGACCTTGAAGTTTGGCTTACTTTTAAACAATTTTTACAATACTTTAAATTGGTTATAAAATTTTAATGAAAAAAGGTAGGGCTTTCATATTACACAAGTGTATTACTTTGACCCCTTGACCTTTAAGTTTAAAACTACTTTTCAAAAATTTAATCTTTGCTTATAACTTTTGATTAAGAAGAGATATGGCTTTAATATTTGACATGTACATTACCTGTGGCAAGACCTTTCCAAATATATATGATTTTTGACCCCTTGACCTTGAAGGTTGACCAAGACAGTTACAATAGGCCATAAATAATGGCATCCCATCCATACCGAAAGCGGGGGACCACAATTCTTTGAATTTGCTTGTTCAATTTAAATTTGTCCATGACAATTAATTGTCATATACAAATTTAATTCTAAATTTTTGTAGAAGACATACGGACCAATAATACAATATTTTAAATACTTTTACCAACATTATACGAATACAGCCTGTCATGAATAAAAACAACAAAATGTCTTTCTTTGTTAGCTCTACTGGTCAGAGACCAGAAGAGCTTAAATGCGATGGAAAGGTGTCCTTCGTCCGTCTAGCTGTCTGTTCGTCCGTCTGTAAACAATTTTTAAAAACGCTACTCCTCTTACAGTTTTGGTCTGATTTCAATATAACTTGGCACACAAGTAGACTACACTAAGATACATAATTCTGTATATCGGTTTTTGATTTCAATGAACGGTGTTGCCATGGTTACTAAAAATATTTTCTGGGAAATACTTTCAAAATGCTACTCCTCCTACAGTTCTGGTCTGATTTCAGTATAACGTGGCACACAAGTAGACTACACAAAGATACATAATTCTGTGTATCGGTTTTTGATTTCAATGAATGGTGTTCCCATGGTTACTAAAAATAGAAATTTCTATGAAATACTTTGAAAACCCTACTCCTCCTACAGTTTTGAACTGATTTCATTATAACTTGGCACACAAGAAGCCCACACTAAGGTACATAATTTTGAATATAGGTTTTTGATTTCCATGAATGGTGCTGCCATGATTACTTAAAATAGAAATTTCCGTGAAATACTTTCAGAACGCTACTCCTCCTACAGTTTTGGTCTGATTTCAGTATAACTTGGCACACAAGTAGACTGCACTAAGATACATAATTCTGTGTATGGGTTTTTGATTTCCATGAATGGTGTTGCCATGGTTACTAAAAATATAAATTTCTGTGAAATACTTTCAAAACCCTACTCCTCCTACAGTTTTAGTCTGATTTTAGTATAACTCGGCACACAAGTAGACTATACTAAGATATACATAATTCTCTGTATCAGTTTTTGATTTCAATGAATGGTGCTGCCATGGTTACTTAAAATAGAAATTTCTGTGAAATACTTTCAAAACGCTTCTCCTCCTACAGTTTTGGTCTGATTTCAATATACTAAGTAACTTGGCACACAAGTAGACTATACTGAGATACATAATTGCCTTTATTGTTTTTTTAATTTTGTTGAATGATGTTGCCTTGGTTACTAAAATCGAAATTTCTGTAAGATTCTTTTAAAAGGCTACCCCTCCTACAGTTTTAGTCTGATTGCAATAAATCTTGCCACAAATAGAGACTTAAACCAAGGATCATTATTCTATTTATTGCTGTTGCAAAGTTTCAAGTCCAAGTGCAACTTTTATCTTCCTTTGTTATAAATACAGTAGAGCTACAGTCTCGTCAGAGACTTCTGGGTTTTTTTTAAGGTTGCAATCATTGCAGAAAACATCACATAATCTACTTCCGTAAGTTATTGAATTTTTCCTGCAATGTATGCCCGCATTAACAAAGAAGGCATTTAAATGTTAAAATTCACAGGCACTTGAGGTAAGGAACCCCCCCCTTTCCATTTTTTTTCCTTTTTAAATCTGTGGTCGAGTCACCTTTTTCCTATTTTTGTATTCTAATATGCACTATATGTTATCAATAATGTAACTCTTTTGTCTCTATAAGCTGTTTTTAAATATATCGTTTTCGACTGATACATAAAATCTTTTTATGTATCAGTCGAAAACGATATATATATGTATTAAAAACCAGCTTATAGAAACAAAAGAGACATGGGGGGGGGGGGGGTCCATACTCCAAGAGTCTGTGTTAAAGTTAAGTGAATTTCTGTTTTCAATATGATACGGTTGGATATTACACAAACTCTTCAGCAACTTATTTGCTTTCTAACACACAGTATAGAAAAAAAATATATACAAGAATGGTTCAGAATACGACGGGCATCTTATGAATAATAATTACACATAATAATTACACATTCAGCTGAAATTATGATGTACATCATAAGTAAGATATAAGAAAGAAATCAAAAATAAAAAAAAAAATGTTTGTTTGACTGTTTTTTTTTTAATCATGATATATGTATCGCGTAATACTGAACACAGTTCACTACCTTAATAAAGATCTAGTTTTAATACAATCGGAACAAATGAAACAAACATCTACTTTTGTACACATGAAAATCTTATCTTTTCAGACTCTTTTTCTTTGGATCTGTGTAATCAAACACTGATGAAACTGTCCATCTTGTCTGACACGTAACATTTTTTGCTGTCAAGTATGTGGTCTCTTTTTTCGAAATCTTTTTCACAGAGTTTCTGTAATTTGAGGATTAAAAGCCGTGGACTGACTTTATCGTGCATTCCATTACAGCACACTGTTTTTGAACAAAACTGATTATGATGTTGCGACAGTTGCCTTGTAAATTTATGGAATACTAGCAGTTGTGTTGATATTTTATCTACTTTCTGTCACTGGTGCAGAGTCATTTTGAGAAGGTAAATTTGTTAATCTTTGAGACGTTCCTTGTATGTAAGATGAGTAACTAGGCGGGGGCTCTGGAGAATTGTGCTCACGTGAAGAGGAATGTGTTGTATCAAGGGTTGGCATACAAGAAGACGACTCTGTCTTCGGTTGTGGAGTTTCTTGGACACATGAAGAGTATGGTGGAGGTAGATCGTCCAGTGCTTGGAATCGTGTATCATCATATGACAATCCTTCATCTGTGGTCATAACGGACGAAGGTCTTGTAGTCGAGTTAATTGGTGGTATTATTTGGGTGAAAGACAAGTCATTGGAAAAATCTGTAGATAAAAGAACATTTATTGAATAATTAAAAAAAAATTATTCAAAATGCAAATATATATATTTACTTATACTATTTCGATAAGGTTTAACATTTCAATAATTCTCTTTTAAGTACCTCTATTAAACAGTGAAGTACTATTTCTTTTGAGTACCTGTATTAAGCAGTGACGTACTATTTCGTTTGAGTACCTGTATTAAACAATGTAGCAAGGGCGGATCCAGCAATTTTTGAAAGAGGGTTCCAGGGTGGTGCCCTAAGGCTCAAATATAAAAAAAAAACACACACACAAGGGGAGAGAAAAAATCTTTTAAATGGATACTCCCTTTCATAGGCGCTGATCCAGGAATTTTTTTCAAATTTCAAATCAACTCTAATAAATGGCAGTCTCAGGAGCTTTTTGACCAAAAAAGTGAACAGTTTAAAATTACCCAAACCCGAAAAGCCTATTTCTTGGGAGGGAAAGGGTTGGGGGGTGTACACACTTTTCTTAGTCAATTTTCTTCAGATACATGACTTTCCTTTCTATTTTAAAGGCCCCCCTTTCCTTTGGGAGGGTGTGTCCAAGAACATTTTTTAGTTATTTTTACATAGTAATTTAGTAATTCTTAAATCCCAAGGGGTCCCCCGACCTCTTTCTAGATCCACGCATGACTTTCATTACTTTTTAAAGTTAATTCCTTCAGAAGACGGTCCAGAACTGGTATGGCAAAAGTTCGCCGGAATCTTCATCTTCGCTAGCCAAAGGTTTCTGATACGCTACACTTCTCATATGAGGAGAGTAGCGTATCAGAAACCCTTGGCTAGCGAAGATGCGGAATCTTCTGATGATATCAAATCGAAACCTTGCATGAAACTTATCGTATATATACGAGGGGTTATCAAAAAGTTCGTGGACTAGCGCCATAAAATTAAAACCGTTATATGTACATCAATGAATTTTTAAACATTTAATAAGCATCGTCTTTTCTATCTGTAAAATAAACTATAAATCGTAAGTTTTATTTTTTTAGTGAATCGTAACTGTTTTTGTAAGTAATGGTATGTCCAGGCGGCGCAACCCCGAAAAGAACGTATTTTCTACCTGAGTGTAACTGAGAAAACTCTCCTTATATAAGCATTTGGCATCCGAAAATCACATTAATTCACTCATCTGATATGACACAATTTTTACGTAAGAGTTGCAAGTTTTACCTCATTCTGTACATTCAATGAAATTTTATCGTAAATTTTATTTTGAATGTCCAAACAATAAAGGGTTTAAAATGACGTCGAAAGGGGGTAGGGTGTCATTTTACAACATTCTATAAAGCCTCAGCCCCTGGAAAACCTGGCATAGCCTCAGAAAATGTTTAAACAAGCTACAGAGAAATACAATTTACCCAAAGTACTTGTTTTTAAATACCAAAAGAAATTCAACAAGAAAAGAGACACACGGTTAATATCGATTTGTAGTCAGGGTGTCTTAAGTAAGTCACGTCGAAAAGTGACGTTGATCTTTGGTTGACATTGAACTCCGACAAGAAAATTATGCTGGCAAAATCAAGCGAGGATCTTTTCCTATGTATAGATTTAATATTTACAATATTGATGCATTGAAATCAAGAGTTCGTAACATTGTAAAGTCATATAAACAAGAGGGATTTAGAATTTTACTTTTCTCCAGAGAATTAATTAATCTCATCAAGATAAATGTATTGAGGCAGAAAGAGCGTGCATTGAGAAACAATGACGTTGCCGTACGTCATGAAACCAAACGGTGACAGCGCCGGGTGATCATATAATGCATTTTTTATTTAATGATAATTTGGCAAATAATCAACATGTCAAGCTGAAATTTTCAACACTTCTTCAACTTTTGTTGTTTTATGTTCCCTATAAATTTTGTAATCAACGGCTACATAGTATTAATTTTATCGCATCAGTCCACGAACTTTTTGATAACCCCTCGTATATATATATATATATATATATATATATATATATATATATATATATATATATATATATATATATATATATATATATATAGTGAATTAAGTATCTAACATTTTCTTTCATTCATTCATGAAAACGTTTCGTAACAGCATGCGCGGATCTAGAGGGGGTGGGTGGGTCCAGACCCCCCTGGAATTTGCAGAGTTACTAAAAGTATATACTGAAGCAAATAAAAATTGACTTTGGACCTCACCATCACGAAATAGGTTTTTTCACGTTTTGGAAATGGATTTCAAGTTTTTTTCTGCTTGTCAAGAATTCTTCTGGGTTTAATACGTTTGGGAAGGTAATTTGTTTTGTTTTTTTTTTTTGGTCAAATAATTTCTGGGTAGGAATTTTTTTTTTGACTGGGGTGGACCCCCCCCCCCCTTAAAAAAATTCCTGGATCCGCGCCTGTACAGACTTGTAAATTTGTAAGCTTTGAGATGTAGGTAGGGTGGGGTCGGGGGGAGTTAAATGGGTGTTAGCAAATACGCGAGACTCTATCTAGCGAGTAGAATGGGTAGAGATTGTCGAGTTGTTTTATCCAAAACGCATAAAATGTAAAAAATATCTATTACAGAAAACATTTCATCCCACTCTCTCTCTCTCTTTCTGAGAAAATGAAAGGGGAGTCCAACTCCCCCCCCCCCCCCCCCCGATCCGCCAATGTGTTGTACTATTTCTTCTGAATACCTGTATTAAACAGTGAAGTACTATTTCGTTTGAACACTTATATTAAATAGTTTGAGTACCTGTATTAAACAGTGTAGTACTATTTCTATTTCGTTTGACTATCTGTATTAAACAGTGTAGTACTATTTTTATTTCTTTTGAATACCTGTATTAAAAACTGAAGTACTATTTCTGTCTGATATTTCATAAATGGGAAAAGATCTGGCCTGGTCTCCAACAACTCCATGACTAGAATTTCTGTCCGATGTAGACATGTAGTGTGTAGACTTTGCTTTTCTCTTGTACACACAACAAATACACAGACAGACAATGCCAGTAACTAGAAGGACTGAAACAACTGGAATAATGACAACACTTTCAGCTGAAAAGAGAAAACAATATATACATGTTATACTTTTAATCTGTTATATAATTTTAATACCTTAAGTTACATTTATGAAATTTACAACATATAACAAAATTGTTTTAAATTTTTGTCAAGCATACATTTGTCACAGTTTCCTTATTATTCACCAAAAACTTTCTTTGGAATATGTTATTTTACAACATATGTTCCAAATGACGTCCCTTTGCCTCGACACGATTTCTGAAGTTTTTCACCACAGCGTATCAACATTAGATTGATCTTATTTCTCGTGTAATTGCTGTTTTAGGTCCTCTGTTGTTTGTGGGAAGGAAAGTACACTCTGTATTTTAGATAACCCCACGAGAAGAAATCAAGGGGGTTCACGATACTGTACTTTGAAACTGCATGATCTTCCTTTACCACACAAACTGAAATTTAATTACTATGAAAATACATCGGGATCGGTATTCCACAATAGATCGTGTAGACTGACATTCTTTGATTGATTGATTGTATGTTGTTTTACGTCCCATTCGAGAATTTTTCACTCATATAGAGACGTCACCATATAATAGTGGGATAGTATTCTAAATAAATACAAGTTTTTAAAACACTTATTTGTGTTCATGAGATGACATTTCAGGCTGTCAGTGGTGTCTGTACCAGATATTGATTTTTAATGACCTTGAACTGTGTATGATTGTAAAATTCTTGAGTAATTATTACATTTAGATTTTAAATCTATTGATTGCCACATTCTTTTTTTATTAATATAATATCATTCTACTAAGTAACCTTCATGTTTTAATGTGTCACTAAAATTTCACTGTGTTTTTTTTTTTTTTTTTTTTTGAATTGTATCTTAAACAATTATAGTAGATTTATTTCTCGGATCAAATACTGTGTATTATTCTAATATTTGATCTACTGCTAAACTATATAATCATCCAAGGGATTTTTGACAAGAACTTTATTAATATTTTCATCAACATTCACATATGATGAACGTTAATAAATATAGTGCACATCAGGTAGATCAAGTAACCGGTATACTTTATACTTACTCTCTGAGAGCCCCTCCTCTTCCTTAGTTTCTTTGTCCGATGACGTAGTTGTTGGTCTTGTGGAGGTTACCACAGAGTATTTAGGAGTAACTGACTCACACTGTACTATATCATTGTACTGTTTGAATTGAAAAAGATTGATAAGCGAGTTCCTTTCATCAAACTTAAGTATAATTATGTAGAAATCGATATTTTCAAGCAATTAATTATCAAACTAAATACATGTAGTATGTGAAGGTTATGGACAAAGGTTTTGGCAAGCCTGAAATACTGTAATATAGTGAGCTTTTGTTTGATTTGCTTATTTACATATATGAGGTGCTTTTTCTACAAGTTTATATTCCCATAAACTATACAGCCGATGAGGATGGTAATACCTTAAGCTATATTGGAAAATAAACTTCCATCCGTTAACAGTTGCATACTTCATAAAAAATAATACAATTTTATACTGGTAGCCCGCGTGGCGCAGTGGTTAGAGCGTTCGCTCTACAGTCGCGGAGTATTAAGTAGGGCTGTGTCAATATATCGAATATTCAATACGTATCGATATTCTGGAATGTATCGTATCGAAAAAATAACTTCCAATACGTATCGGACAGGCAGTTTTCCTTATAATTCTGTAAAAAAGTTGGGAATTTCACTTACCAAAGATTATTTTGAACTGTTTTCAATTAAAACTGGTCAATAATGAAATAAACATTAAGGAGAGAGCACATCTTAAATAACTATTACAAAATACATAGACAACTATATTTTTACATGTTATGTTAGACTCACCCAGTTTTTATCAAATTTATGCATTAAATGTCATTAATAAGACATTTTTGAAAGACTTAATAAATAATCCAATATATCGCATATCGCTTTATAAAATATCGTATCGTATCGTATCGAAATATTTTGCTCAATACACAGCCCTAGTATTAAGGAGTTGATCCTTACGTCGCGGGTTCGAATCCCACTGTGGGACGTGGAGACCGGTCCTTCGGATGAGACCGTATAAACCGAGGTCCCGTGTCGCAGTAGGCAAGATGCTGGCAAGAAAAAGATCCCTCACTGCTCAATGACCCTCAGTGCCGAGCATAGGTCAAAATTTGCAGCTCTCCACCGGCAAATGGTGGCGTCTCCATATGAGTGAAAAATTCTCGAGAGGGAGGTTAAACAATAAACAAGCAAAAACATTTTTATACTGTACGATGGGTGATCAAAAAGTTCGCGAACTACGCAGGTGAGTTAAGGCTAGGTATATAGGCATTTCTGTGCAAATAATCTAATTAAAATGCCTAAGGACTATATCTATTATACAGAGAAACACAGGCACTTGTTTCGTATACGGGGCACCCCTACTTATTTTTACCACAAGGTACCTAACTCAATTTCAGGCACCCCCGCTTCAAACTCGTATTTTGTTTATATATTAATCATTAACCTACTTTAAAATGACATCGTTCGCTTCGAAAGACTTTTTTCTTGTCAAATTAATCGTTTCGGACGTCTCTGATCGAGCCTCTTTATTGTAAACCACTTATTTCTTCCTCGAAAATTATCTCGATACAAAATAAGACTACGGATCGGATACATTAACTTCCGGTTGGGTTATAAATGTAGGATAAATCCAGAGACTTACGAGAATTCCTTTCCGAGGTCTCTGGTTTTATCCTTCATTTATAACCCAACCGGAAGTTAATGTATCCGATTCGTAGTCTTATTTTGTATCGAGATAATTTTCGAGGAAGAAATAAGTGGTTTACAATAAAGAGGCTCGATCAGAGACGTCCGAAACGATTAATTTGACAAGAAAAAAGTCTTTCGAAGCGAACGATGTCATTTTAAAGTAGGTTAATGATTAATATATAAACAAAATACGAGTTTGAAGCGGGGGTGCCTGAAATTGAGTTAGGTACCTTGTGGTAAAAATAAGTAGGGGTGCCCCGTATACGAAACAAGTGCCTGTGCAGAGAAAGCTAAAACTTGTTGCCTAATACATACTTGGTACCCACGACATGAGATAGCTAGTACACATTATGACGTCATATTATGACGTCATTGTTCTTTACTACACAATATTATAATGGATATAAACAAAAATGCTTTGGCGCAAGGGCATGCTCTATTTTATTCAACTGAAACAAGGTATATTTAGAAGCAAAATATTCCAAAGTTTGCTGGCATTGCTGCACAAATATCAACACCTCATTTGTATAATTACTATTTGTTAATTTTAAGTTGAATAAGGGTAAAAATGTACAGTCCGGTATAAGTTTCCTCAAATTCCGATCAAATGAGAAAATGCCTAGGATTTGTGCAGCAGTTTAACTAATCTATAGAATATTCTTTTTAGCACTATACAATTTTTTTGTAAAAATAAATAAGGTAATCCCTTGCGCCGAAACTGTTTTGTTGATGTGTTTTATAACCTCCAGTAGGTAAGATCAGTGACGTCATAATATGACGTTATAATGTGTACTGGATATAACATATCGTGGGTACTAAGTATGCATAAGAAAATAAATCAACACTTTTTCTGAATAATAAATATACCTCTTATGCGTTTTTATTAGCTCATTTGCATAGAAACGCCTATACCTAGCCTTAACTCACATGTGTAATTGAATTACTTCCGTAAAAGAAATAAAACCTATCATTATTTTTAAAAGTAGTCCTCTCCAAATGCACATCTGCCACCGTTCTGCCTATGCGCGAATCACATGATCCAGGCGGTCACGTGACATGCTCCGTAGCGTTCTGTTCACAGAAGGTTACAAAAGATTTTTCCGAGTCTTATATTTCTTAACATGCAAGTTATTTTTTAATAACAAGAACAGTCCATTTGTCACAAATGACCAACTCTCGGCAATTGGATGGGTGGATAAGGATATTCTTTCCCAAAATGATCATAGTGCCCCTCACAACCCGAGACCTCTGTCTTGGGAGCGTCGTTTATCCAATGTGGATAAAGTATGGGCGCCTTCTCTTTATCATATCTGATATGTTTAAAGCCTAAATTAAACGAAATTTTAGGGATTTAATAATCATATTATTGTTAAGATATTCAACTACTTTTCTAAGCTTTCATAGCAAATTGCTCAACTATAAGGACACATAGAACTCTTCCCCAGCTTGCTTTCACTGGGCAACAGAACAAACATCATTTTTAACCATCTCCCTTCCTCCACTAAAACAATCAATCCAATTAATGATAGAACTTCTGGTAAGTCTTTTGTCTTCACAAACCTTGTACAAATTATTATATGCTACTGCAAAGGAATTTCCAAGATATTCGTTTATCTTTACAGCCATTCGTTGCTCGAGTACGACTGAGTAAATCATTTAAATGTCACAAGTATCTACATATTGACGTCATTTTCACATTGTGACGTCACAAACATGGAGCGAATCATTACATAACATCTGCTATTTATAGAACATGTGTGTGCCAAATTTCATTCTGATCTGAAATGTGGTTTTGTAAATAGAAAGATCTATAGTTTGCGAACTTTTTGATCACCCTCAGTGCATGGTTGCTGTACCTTAAATCCATTAGGTGAGGCCTTCTGTAGTGGATTTCCTCCTACCTCCAGTTTGATAATTCTAGGTGAGTACAACGTATATACACCCGAAAATGAGGTCACGGGTCCGTATCTTCTCTCTATGTCGAGTATAACTTTAACTGTGTTCCCTCCTCCTGTATCAGATCCATAGGCGGATCCCATACTTTCCCATTTTATAATGTTTGAAGCACCACACTTCGAGTTGTCATATAAATTTATAGGTTGGCTTGCGCTGTCTCTAGTGCTCTAAAATTCATTAACACATTTCTAGAGTAGAATCGATAGAAAAAATTCTTTAATTGTTTATATGATATATCATTTCATTACACAGTAAAATGTAGAACGTTGTCTTTTTACATACAACTTTTACCTACTTGCTTATGGAATAATTAAGCATTCATTTGAGTAAAAGATATCGCCTATTAAAAATCACCAGGAATATTAAATATCTTACTCCATAGATAATGGAATCTATGTGAACACTTGTGTCAATCCACCACGAAGTTGAGTGGTATGACGATAACACAAGAACTAAAGGTTTTTTGACTTCCCCTCTTGGATGTATCACAATCTTGTACTCGGACCAAGAATCCCCATAAATTCCAATCATGTGTACTTCGTAGTGAGGATTGTCATTAGCAACACAGCTCCGTAATGTATATCCATATTTTAACGATTGCACATGAGCAAGAGCAAATTGTGGACTTTCTCGAATTATGCAGTTTCCAACTTCAGCTTTAAAAGGACCAAAAATAAAATTATCTTGCATTATTCTTGTTTCAAAGCTATTTTGAATTTACTGGGAGGAGGTGAACGTAAAATTTACAAAATGATACTGGCGCGACTTTTGAAAGTTGTATCAATTTTAAATGTATTGAGAAGAATTCTAACCAGCTATAGGTAATGTTTATGGGTTTTCAATGATGTATATAAGGGTAGGAGTATGAGACAAGAAGTTTCGTCGAAAATAAAATACACCATTATGTTCAATCATCATACTAAATGTACATGTATTTGTATAAATGTGTTTTATTTTTACAATTTTGAATTATTTCTTTTATTTTTGCACACCAAGTACACTTGGATACATAAGGTATTTTGGGAATTGAACAGATTGCACATTTTTAATGTCTGAATGATACAAAAAGTTGTGATTAGTAGTATAAGGAGCCTGGATGGCCGGGTCAACTGAGTGGACTTTTTTGGTGCCCTGGGGGAGATGGCCGGTTCAATCTAGTACACACCCTGGAAAAACCCAAGCAAAAGGGGGGGGGGGATACGTTTGATCTACGTTTGTGCTGAGTCAGTCAATACATAGGCAATACACACAAAAACTTGGCATCGATTCAAATCACAGCTAGGTATGCATTGTGACGTCATGTGTCATACAGAGCAAGCCTCTCTCTCTCTATTTTCTGAAAACGGAAAAAACAATAACACAGTAAAGTTTGTAAGATGAGTTATTGTAAAAAATATACATAATTACTTTTTCTTCTGGAGTTTCAGGGGTTGTTTCTTCTCCGTCTGAGTAGTAGTAGTAGCAGGAAGTTTCCTCTTGTTGTTAAATGGAATTTTATCCTGTTGACTGGTCTTATGTTCCTGATGAGTGGTCTTGTTTTCTTGTGCCTTTTTCTCCAGTTTTTCGACTTCTTTGACAAATTCCATACTGTCATCTGTGCACTGATTGGCCCAATGTCCAAAATTTCCACACTTGTAGCATAAGTTCTGTTTTTTTTCTGGGACAGTCCGGAGCCCAATGTCCTAATTCTTTACATATGAAACATGGGTCTGTCTGTTTACTTTTCATGGCAGCTCCCGTGTCTTCATTTTTCTTGGCAGCTCCTGTGTTTTCATTTTTCTGGTTTCCTCTCATTTTTCTTCCATTCTAGCGACTTTAACTTCTAATCGGGACAATTTCCCACGTATCAAACAAAATTCACTGGTGTTGTACTCTTTCAGTTGAGTCAGCATGTTGACAATGTCATCCAGAGTGGTAGTTAAGATGCCCATATCTTCCTTTGTCATGGGTTCAGGCATATTATAAAGTCCCAGATCAAATCCGATCGGATCCTGCGTGTCAGGCATTGTCGGTAGAGCATATCCTAACCCTTCATTGCTAGCTGGAATATAATTACGATTTTCCACGGAATTCATCATCGCCTGTGCCATATTTCTACGTCTGTCAAGTTCAAAGTGCCCAGTAAGAATGATCCTAAATTTCCAGCTCTGGTTTATATACCCTTTTGGATTTCGTGTGCAAAAATAGGTTTGACTTACGTTTTGTACCCTCGCGCTTAGTACGCTCTCTCGTTTTACCTACGTTTTGCTGAGTCAGTACATTATGGGTCTACGTACTTTGTACGTTTTGTATAGATACAGGGGTATAAATAAGAAAACATTTCTTGTCATTTCTTCACAATTGACTATCATGTCAACACATAAACACACTCACTCTTTGGTGTTGGAAGGGTATGATTTTTTAATGCGATGTATAGAGAAAAATCAAGAAGCTTTACCCCCGGAGGCGGAACCAGTGTTCCAGAGAGCGACGACCATCATAGAAAATACTCAGGACTTGTGGTTACAATGCCTGGCTTTATTACATCATCCGACACTGGGGAGACTAGCGATTATACATTTCCTTTGTCAACGGATCAAAAAGACTCTACCAGAAAAAAATGTACGGGATGAAAATGAGCGAATATTTAGGAAAACCTTACAGTTTCCTATGTCATCCCAAAGGGAGCAAAGTATGTCTACTCTGGAAGGAAATAGAAGCGGTAGAGAAAATATGCATCCAATACGGGATGAAATATGTAGAAATTTCAGACATGCTAAGAAATGTATAACTTTTGATACCAGCCTGAATGAAATTTATCATTTACCACCCGAAGATCGAAAAAGTCCATGGATGGCTATAGTAGCAGATCGATTACGATTTCAGAGGAGAATTCGACAGTTTGAACAATTATTAAAGAAAAAATAAAGGATGTTAACCACAATAAGTCTTTGTTATTATTTCTATACAAATATGACGCCATCTTGTGCCCTTGTTTAGACGCTGAGATTTTTTAGACGCTGAGATTTTTTTTTGTATAGTAAGAAAAAAATCTATTCCCATTTCAATTAAAGTAGATACAGATTGACTTTAAACTAATCCGATTCTGTTTTATCTCAAAATCTTTGATTCCTAAAAAAAAAAATCATGCCTATGTGTATAGAATGCTGTGCCTTGTAATAAGACGCTGTGTTTTTTCAATATTGCTATTTATAAAACATCTAGACATTCCCACTGGAAATAAAGTGGATTCAAATTGTTTTTCAACTAAACTGATTTTATTTAATATTTAAAAATTCCAGTCAGAAAAGGTCACGATTAAAAAAAATCCTATATTCTCTATACAAGTCTATACAGTGATTTTCTACAAAAAATATCCGACCTTCGCCTTCTTGTGTCTATGCCTAAACTGATTCTGGGTATATTTTTACACTAGAAACCATTCCTTTGATTTAAAAACAGCATCAACACTTTTCCCTAGGTTTAATCTCATTGTATAGATTAAGTTTTCCTTGTATCACACTTTAAAAAAGGTTAAAATACTTATTTTATGTATTCAGGTGACCCGATTTTAGCCCTTCGGTTCAACATCAATGCTTCTTTTCTAGACGACAGATAAATGTCATGCATCAAAAATACTGTGAAATCATGCCTGAAACTTACCTTCATCTGATGGCTAAGATGTTTGAAAGTATTTCTAATCCCATAATAAGTTATTCACTCCAATGTATAGATTGTGAAGCACAAAATAACACAATTTGACGTCGCCATTATTTTTTTTGGCTCTCGCTTTAGGGTGCTCTCTTTTACGCTCGTGCTGTGCGCATAAATACGGCAGCTTGCCAGAGCTCGGTGTCATTCTGTAAGTATCAGTTCTGCTGACACCGTATCAGTATGGCTGAGGACGATGTCCAAAACTTCTACATTTTTCCAGGGGTAGAGATTGAAAATGTTTGGATCGTCAGAGACGTAGCCACCGGCAGGGAGTTAGCTCGCTGGCCGATAGCTACCCTGGGCCTAGCCAGTGACATGATCAGGGGAAGGAGACGAGAAAGAAGAAGACGACGAAGAAGAAGACGAAGATCGCCATCTAACAGTGAAGTTGACCAGCCAAGGAGGAGGACAGATTCAACACCATCTGCTTCGTATTCGGCCCCTCTGAGTAGTCCGGAACTACTCGAGGACACCCCGAGAAGCCCGTCCCCTCCAAGAAGACCACCAACTCCTACATGGTCACCCAGTCATCCCCCGGGAGCAGCTGCTGGACAGTGGGATTCCTCCGTAGATTCGACCCCTCCCGTTAACAACGATTGGGCTGGACAGGGGGATTCTTCATCCGTTGATTCGGATTGGTCCCCTCCCGTCAACAATGACTGGGCACCTTCCCCGGAGCTGGCTAGACCACCACCACCCTCCCCGGAGCTGGCTAGACCACCACCACCACCCCCGACCCCGGAGATGTCACCAGGTGTGAGTACTACGGGGCCAATTCCTAGATGGGGTATTCAAGTCGCGGCAGCCAGGCTGGATTCCTGTGTAGTTTGCTTGGAGGAGGATCGGATGTCCAATTATATCTGCTGTCAGTGTCGCCGTCGACCGGCTTGTCTCGAGTGTTCAGCTGTGCTGGTACAGATGAACCAATGCTATCCTCTTTGTCGACGCAGGCTTTCGAGATATGCAGCTCGCGGGCGAGGATTGAGACCACCTTCTCCAAGACAGTCATCTCTACCCCCACCCGGAAGGCCGGACTTTATGGAGCCGTTGACCGGTAACCAGCGACCTCCCCTCTCAGGCAGAACAGAGTTCCGCGGCAGAGGCAGAGGTAGTGGAAGGCCTCTCAGGGAGTAAACCCTTGATAAAAAAAAAATCAACAACGGCCCTTTTAAGGGCCACTTTAATGATTCGAAAAGATACCTCTAAAACATTCAAGGTTATAGCAACGTATAAACGGCCCTTTTAAGGGCCACTTATTTGAATAGATACCTATACGAAAAGATACCTAAAAAAACATTCAAGGTTATAGAAACGTATAAACGGCCCTTTTAAGGGCCACTTATTTGAATAGATACCTATAGGAAAAGATACCTAAAAAAAAACATTCAAGGTTATAGAAACGTATCAACGGCCCTTTTAAGGGCCACTTCAATGATTTGAATAGATACCTATAAAACATTCAAGGTTATAGAAACGTATAAACACCAGGTCACTGTTTTTTTTTTTTTTGTTTTTTTTGTTTTTTTTTTAAAAACATGAATCATTTTTTAAAAAATGAAATAACATAAACACATTTTTTTTAATTTTATTTATTTATTTTTTTTTTTATAACAGTCAATCTTTATAACACACACAATCAATGTTTACGAAGAATGTACACTTGTTTTCGATAAGTGTGTACAAATTGTTCAATATATTGTCTATAATGAGTCCAATTTCCTCCTGCTAAACCACATCCTATTTTATAAGGAAAGGCATAAGTCTGGTAAGGTAAAGTTCCCAATTCTTGTAAACAAGCTTGAAACCATTTTTCTCTATTTTCTGGTGTATCTTGATAATAAGGTAGGCGATTATAATGTCCTGTTGCATAATCCCATTGAGCTAACAGACAAATGACTACAGGTTTTTGTAAAGAAAACACTTTAAGGGTGCCTGGAATTCCTCTATCTTCTTCTAGGGCTAA